TCTTGCAGCAAAATGCATGGCCCGCTTATAAAGCCAATGCTCCATCTCCCTGTAAAAGTCACTAGCTCTTTGGGATGTATTTATAAAAAAGTCTCATAGCTGTTCATCCATTGAAACGGCATGCAAATTAATTCTGCAGGAATATTGAATGTTCTCGGGCTAAATTCTCTGCAGATTGCATTGAAACAAAGCAACAAAAAGAAAGAAAATACCACATTATGGCCATTAGATGGAACTGAGGGGTATACTTATATTTTGTGCTACTCAGCACCCCTGTAGTGGCCATAATACAGTATTTTAACTATACAGACAGCCCCCAAGTTACAAATATCTCACTTACATACGACTCGTACTTAAGAACGGAGGAAGCATGACGTCACGCTGGTGACAGAAACTGCTGGGCGGCCATCTTATTGCTCATCGAATGCTGCCAGCGACTACCCGGTGGACTCAGCAATCCAACATCACTACATGGCCAGTTAACCCTTCCCTATGCTGTCTAAAACGTAAAAATATTTTTTGGGGGATGGAGTTACACTTAAAAAATGTACCTGTTCCAACTTACATACAAACTTACATACATTCAACTTAAAGCAGAGCTCCACCCAAAAGGGGAAGTTTCGCTTTAAGCCTTTGTCCCCTGCTCCCCATTAAGGATTGGCACCTTTGGGGAGTGGATACCCGAATTTGTCAGGTACTCGCTCCCACTTCTGCTGTGATCACCTAGGCAATCGGAAGCAGAAGTTGTCCTACCTCCCTCCCCGTAGTCTTCTGTGACACGTGACAGGTCCCAGAAGACTATGGGGCCATTCACAAAGTGCAGCGCGGATGCGCAGTGGGCACCCGGCTGTGAAGCGGCAAGCTGTCACAGCCGGGTGCCCACACTGAAGTTTCCTGCGCCAGGGAGGGAAGACGGCCAGTGAAACCAGCCATGGTGAGGACACCGCTGGACTCAGGGACAGGTAAGTGTCTGTATTTTAAAAGTCAGTGGCTACAGTTTTTGTAGATGCTGACTTTTATTTTTTTTTTTTTTCTTCAGGTGGAACTCCGCTTTAAGAACAAACCTAGAAACCTATCTTGTTCATAACCTGGGGACTGCCTGTATAACATTCAATCTGAAGAGAATATAGGCTGAGAACAATGTTCCCCCGTCCACACAGAACAAATGTACATGCAGTTTTGATGGACAAACAGTTATGCAATATTTTTTTTTAATACACACCTATGTATGTGCAATAGGTACTTGAATAGAAAAGCATTAGATTTTTTACTTACTTGTGACCACAAGAGGAGTGGGACCACACCTTCAGGCTAGATCCTAGAAAATACAGAGCAGCCCAAAACTCATGAGAATGTTCTCTTGCAATGGACTGGATTGTCTTCTCACAAGATTTAGGGTGCTCGTCATTCCTCAAAAATCCTTCTTGAAGAGCATTGACACATAGCCCCCAACTTCCCCTCAACTGGAGGGATTTCCCTTCCTTTGGAACCAAGTCCTCCTTTCCTCCTAAGCTGTCCTTTACTTTTGTCTGTCTGTCTGGGCATGGTGACCAAGGCAACCCTCAAATGTGGCAGAGCCTGGGGGGAGGTGTGCAGTGTCGGGTGGAAGATGGACTGAGGTAGGCTGGAGTCTGGAGCCTGGAAGGGGACCCCAGGGAGGGGAGTCTACCTACAAGCAGGTCACTGGAAAAAAGGATCTCCATTGCCTCAAAGTCTCCTAGTGAGGACAGCCTGTGTAGCAGGGAAGGAGCCAGCCCACCATAAGGCCTGAAGGCAGCCAGCAACCCACCATGCTAACAGGAGAGGACCGTGTGAGTTTCCTACACCCTTTGGGTTAGAGGGGAGAGGGCAGTCAGGTGCAAGACCCAACTAGCTTCTCATTTGAGACTGTTTCTAAATGAACAGCTCTTGGATGCCCTTGCCCAGGGAATATCCTCAGTACAGCTGGGTGAAGAGGAGAAATCATCTGGGGTCTGAGGAGGTACACTAGGAAGAGTCTTTGGAGCTCTTCAAGGAAAGAGACTGTTGATATCCACATTTTTGTAAATAGTTACTAAGGAGTTTGTCCTCAGGTCTTGCAGTTCCTCGGGCATCCCAATTACTACTAGACCCCATCCAAGTTCTTAACCCCTTAATAAAATCACAAAACCAAGCTCGAGGACTGTTCTTTGACTCCAGTGTGAAAAGTGTGGAAAATACGTGTTGCCTGGCTATGCAGAGCATAAATGGACCCATAATAAATCCAGTGGTCCCTAAGGGGGGTAGTGCTACATCTCTTTTAAAAAAAAAGCCAGTATATGTAACACTTACCCCTAGCATTGGTGGTCAGGCACTATAACTGGCTCAGTGTTCTTCACCGATAGCAGCTCCTTTTCTCATAAGGTAAGCAGGCCTACCGGTACTCAGTTGCCCCCAGGTCTTATACAAAATGCTATAGTGCCTGGTTACCACACCAGGGGGGAAGGCGCAACCTATGCACAGCAAAAATGTTCTTGGTGATTGGCAAACAGGAAGAAAGATCCAGTGGCAGTCCAGGTTCTGGGCAGGCAGTGTTCTCAGAGTAGTCAGGGTCAAATCCATGGTCACAAGGCAGGCTGAGTTCAGACAGTAGTCAAAAGTCCAACCCAAGGTTGAGAACAAAGAAATCCAAACTAGCTGGCAGGGTGGGGATCAGGCGAAGGTGAAGGTCAAGGCACGGAAGCAAGGAAGGGGTATGGTGGAAGTGTGGCCATTGTCTGTTTATTTTATGTTCTTTCTCATCTCAGAAGGTTAGGAGGCATGATGACATCACACCAAGCAAAGCGGAAGGCAGGGGTAAGGTAAGTAAAAAATATAACTTTTTTCTTTATAGAGCTTGTGATGTTTACGGGGGGAGGAGACCCGAACAATATAAACAGACTCTGCATTGTACTGCAAGGCCCACCTTTAGAGTTATATTGTATGTATAGTCTGAAATGGTTTTGTTTAGCTTTGGATTGACTGGGGCAGGCCAAAACACTTGTTGGTTTATTTTTTAGCTGATGTGTCCCTTTTAAGGAGCTTTCTCTTCACTTTATGTCCCAAAGAGGCAACCAAAAGTAAGAGAAAATCTCCACAAGTTGAAGGGAATCACTATTTGATCTTTGTCACCATAAGTTTCCCCATAAAATTTCCTCTATTTCTGTTTTGAGGACAACCTTAAAAGTTTGGGTTTCTGATCACTTTATAAGTTTGAATTGTCATCTGGACAAATACATGGGCAAATTTTCCCTCTGAGACAAAGAGCTGTCTGGCTAGAAATGATCTTGGTTTCTATAGCATTGGGCAAACATATTTAGATAAAGAAAATCTCTACAAAGTTTGGGAACCTCTTTACCACTGAAACAATGAGCATTCTCTGGAGGAATGAAGGTTAGATAGGTAGGGGAGCCACTTAATAGATTTACTATGGGGCCCAATCTAACATAGTTACAGACCTGCTCAAGCTATTTTTTTTCACTTTTTGTATTTATTTTGTGCTAGAGACACGAAAGGAAGTATGGAGAAGTATCTTCAAACTGAAGGATAATCAGTATCACAACAGGTGTCACTACTAGAAGGTTTTCCCCACCTTCTGTTCCATTGACAGCTGTAAAATTGGATGTTCAATTACTTTTTCATTCTTAAGACAATGGTCCCCTAAAAAAAGAAAAGATACACTTTAAAGCCCAGCTTAGTTTCTTAGTCAACCTACAAGCTTTATCTAATTTAAAAATATATATATATATATTGGGTACCTTTTTTCCTTGTGTGCATTCACGTGCTGTCACAAATGCTCTTCCTTTTCTCCCTTTGTTGGCTGCATACCCATGAATAGGTTCCTAAAAGACCTGGAGCAACCCTGGGCACTATGTATACAACCGTGATGGCGAAAAAAGAGCTCTGTGTTTATTTGTATTTTGTAATGTTCTCTTAGTCCCTATTTGCAGAGTTCCCTTATATCCTATATGCAGGATACTTATTTTGTCTACTTTATCTTATTCATGCAGTTTTTATCTGTCATTTTTTTTTCTACAAACGAACTAAAATTTTTTAAAACTAGTGTTGGATAGTGTTTGATGGGCAGGGGCGGACTGACAACTCATGGGGCCCCCAGGAAATAGGGGATCATGGGGCCCCTGTGTCCTTGCCCACACTCAAAAAAAAAATATAAAAAAGGTTCCAGGGGCATTTCATGGGGCCCCCTACTGACCCCGGGCCCTCAAGCAGTGCCCGAGTGCTCAAATGGTCAGTCCGCCCCTGGTGATGGGTTAGCTTCAGACAGTGCTAGGGAGAGGGAATTTTTAAAATTTGCACTAGTGCTGGATATTTTTTTTTTATACCTGAAGTTGGGCTTTAAAGCCTGATTCTTGTGATTTGTATATTGTTGTTTTACTCCCTATTTTGCAAGCTTTTCCGACCTATTTTATCTGCCTTACTGTATTCTTTAAGTTCCAGTATGACTTTGGAGTGTGACTTCCATGTGACTTTATACTCTATGGCAGGGGCAGACTGACAACTCATGGGGCCCCCGGGCAATAGGAGATCATGGGGCCCCTGTGTCCTCGTCCACACTCAAACCATGCCCAAAAAAGCCTATGAAAAAGGTACCAGGGGCATCTTATGGGGCCCCCTACTGACCCAGGGCCCTTGGGCAGTGCCCAAGTTCCCAAATGGTCAGTCCGCCCCTGCTCTATGGCACTCAAGTTGCAAGAAAGTTGCATCATAGTAGTGCAAGAACTATTTTTAAAGTTGCTGAGACGTTAGTTGGATAGATTTGAACAGGTGCCATTGAAATAAATGGGCTGCAACTTGTCATGCGACTTTACAGAATGTGTCTAAAGTTGCATGACAAGTCGCACTAGAGTGAATGGAGCCTAAAACCTAAAAAAAAAATGTTTTGAAACAGACAAAACCAGCTCTGCATCTACAATCGGTGAGTCTGCTTTAGACAGTAGTGGGGAGAAGAATATGTATAACAGCAACATTTTATTATTATTACTATTGGCACTAATGCTGGAAGGTTTTTTTTGTTTGTTTGTTTGTTTGTTTGTTTTTTTTTATTATGGGTTTTGAAGCCTGATTGCAGTTGTTTTACTACTGTTCTTTTAGTTACTTTTTTTCAGGGTTCCCTTGCTTATTTTGCTTGCTTTATTGTATTCTTTTAGTTTTTTTTTTCTAGAACCCAACAAAAATGTTTCAAAAATAAACAACACCCAGTGCTGGAGCTCAGACAGTGCTGGAGAAAAGAATAGGCACTACGGAGAATTTTTTTTTTTTTTTACTAGTGCTGGGCATTTTTTTTAACCTGGAATTAATCTTTAAAGTTTGATTCCAGCCATTTCTTTTTATTATCCTTTTTATTGTAGCATTGCTAGATCAGCCTTACGCTGCTTCTGTTTCATCACAAATCCTCATGGCCTCTCTTTTAGATTATTATACTTTTTTGTTTAGTTGAAAAAAAAAAATGTTGAATATCCCCGTAAACCACATTCCATACTATTTTTTTTTCCAGGTATGCTTAGCTGCTTGCTGAAATAACATTTGTTGCTGATTTTTTTTTTCTTTTTTTTTATTTGATCAGGTTCATATTATGAGCTGTGAACGAAAGCAGGATGTCTTTGTAAAGCCCCAACCGTGAAAAATAATGCTGCAGATGGAATGACAAAAAACAAGCGTTATGTGCAAAGCCGCAGTTCAAAGAAAGGTGAATAATTGAGGCGTGCGCCTAGGCGGCGTTCCCTGTCTACCTGCAGCTAGCTAGATACCGTATATGAAGGACCCGCTGTCTCTGGCTTTGGCAGAATCGCTGCTCTCTGAATTGGCTTGTTGCTGTGTTGCGCTCAAGATATTACTGGCATTGCCAGTCTTTTAAAGCAGTAATCCCATGGTCGTGTGTGGCCAAAGGAGCAAAGAATCTTGCTGACTTCATACAGATGCTTCTCTTTAAAAAAAAAATCATGAGCATCTTCTGCAGACTCAATTTTCCGTGAAGGATAATTACATTCCGATACTTTTAGGATTTAGAAATTGTCTCCAACTACCTAACAAGTGTATTCAGTCTAATGTACTTTTATAAATGTCATCTGTTGCCTGGAAAACATTAAAGTGTGTTGTCAAAAGGCTTCGCTCAATAGCACACAGAGTGGCCTGTATGGGGCGATAACCCCCTAGCATCCAATTGGAAATACTCTTTTGCTGTCCAGACAACAGTAAAGTGAAATTGCTAGTTTGTACTGGTGTCAGTTACAATGAACCTGTGCCCAGACCATTTGGAAACTTGGGCACTGCCCGTGGGCCCAGGGTCAGTATCGGGCCCCATGAGATGCCCCTGGTACCTTTTTCATAGGCTTTTTTGAGTTTGGGCAAGGACACAGGGGCCCCATGAACCCCTATTGAACCCTTATTGCCCGGGGGCCCCATGAGTTGTCAGTCCTCCCCTGGTCCAGACTATGCACAATAAAGTATATACATATTCTGAAAGATCAAGAAAAAACATTTTACAACAACAGCACACTCACCTCTGTATCTATAGTCATTGTGGAGAACTTTATTTTCTATGTCCAGAGGCACTAAAATCTCACCTTTTTTCTTCAGGAGCAGATGCTAGCAGCCTGCCAGACAACTTACCTGGGCCTTATGACAGAAGGGCCCCCCCCCCCCTCTATACAAAAAATCATGTAAAAATCCTGTATAGCAATAATAATAATAATAATAAAACTATATAAAAATGTATATTAAAGTGTTACTAAATGCATAACAGTAAAATCAGTCTGTATATGCAGTAAAGCATGCTTGTTATACTCACTGTGGAACTTACTGGGTTAATCCTCTGTATTGTGTAAAAACGCTGTTTGATCCTGACTTCTCTGATCCTCCCGCCCCTTCATCCAGTGTCCTCCTCTTCCGTTTTGATAAGACATATAGTGTGGAATCACTCTGCACATGCTCAGTTTGGTGTGTATTGCTAGAGAGTTGTTTTTTTTCTTGGGTGAGTACATGTGATCAGCACAGGGCCAATCAGAACTGTCCAGACAGAGGTCAGGGGTTCTGCATCCTCCTAGAGCAAAATGAAAACTCCTCTAACAAGCTTTAACTAGTGCTCAGCGGGACACTGATAGAAGTCACAAGACTGCTCTAACAGGTGAAGAGAAAAGGTATTTGGCAGTATATATTTACTAACATAATTGCATTTCCACTTTCTGTGTGCTGTGGGAGACCGGATATAGTGAATGCAGGGTCCGGGGAGACCAGATATAGTGAATGCAGGGTCCGGGGAGACCAGATATAGTGAATGCAGGGACCGGGGAGACCAGATATAGTGAATGCAGGGTCCTGGGAGACCAGATATAGTGAATGCAGGGTCCAGGGAGACCAGATATAATGAATGCGGGGTCCGGGGAGACTGGATATAGTGAATGCAGGGTCCGGGAAGACCAGATATAGTGAATGCAGGGTCCTGGGAGACCAGATATAGTGAATGCAGGGTCCTGGGAGACCAGATATAATGAATGCAGGGTCCGGGGAGACTGGATATAGTGAATGCAGGGTCCGGGGAGACCAGATATAGTGAATGCAGGGTCCTGGGAGACCAGATATAGTGAATGCAGGGTCCTGGGAGACCAGATATAATGAATGCGGGGTCCTGGGAGACCGGATATAGTGAATGCGGGGTCCGGGGAGACCAGATATAGTGAATACAAGGTCCTAGGAGACCAGATATAATGAATGCGGGGTCCTGGGAGACCAGATATAATGAATGCGGGGTCCGGGGAGACCAGATATAGTGAATGCAGGGTCCTGGGAGACCAGATATAGTGAATGCAAGGTCCTGGGAGACCAGATATAATGAATGCAGGGTCCTGGAAGACCAGATATAATGAATGCAGGGTCCGGGGAGACCAGATATAGTGAATGCAGGATCCGGTGAGACCAGATATAGTGAATGCAGGGTCCGGGGAGACCAGATATAATGAATGCAGGGTCCTGGGAGACCATATATAATGAATGCAGGGTCCGGGGAGACCGGATATAATAAATGTAGGGTCCGGGGAGACCAGATATAGTGAATGCAGGGTCCTGGGAGACCAGATATAGTGAATGCAGGGTCCGGGGAGACCAGATATAGTGAATGCAGGGTCCGGGGAGACCAGATATAGTGAATGCAGGGTCCGGGGAGACCAGATATAGTGAATGCAGGGTCTGGGGAGACCAGATATAGTGAATGCAGGGTCCTGGGAGACCAGATATAGTGAATGCAGGGTTCTGGGTTTAGTAACACTTTAAATAATAAAAAATAAATATAAAATAATATAACATTTCTAATAATCAAAAAAATTATTTTTTTTATTAAATGTATTTTGGAAATTATTATTTTGACTGCCATCATCTGTTAAAAAGTTTTTACTCTGGACTGGTGTATTGTATCTATAAAAAAATGAATCTTGGAAGCTGAAGCAAACCTCACAGAGAGCGCTTACACACCTAAGGTAGCCTATGGCTAGGCTGTTCGAACTTGAGTGAAATTCAAACTTCAGTCTCTGTTGGGATCTTGCAGGATCTTTGAAAACAAAATAAAGAGTAATTTCTCTTCCCCCCTATTTGATGGGTATAGATGGGTTCTGCCCAAAAAAACAACACACATGCCCAGTTATCCAATGGTGTTCTTCAAAGAGAGGAGAAAGGTAGGAGAGGAATGAGAGAAGGTCAATGGGGGTTAAAGGTCTGCTTTAAGAATATATATGTCCATAGTCTGGGCACAGGTGCACTATAACGTGTATGTAAACCCTTTACAGACATTCGAACATAAGGCACAATGAGGTTGGTTTACTAAAGGCAGTTGCTCCAGAGCTTAGTGAATGAGGTAAAGTTTCTCTTTGCCAAGTATACCCAATCAGGTGCAAGGAACATAAAAATACAGAATTTTTGCCTGCACATGATTGGATAATGGAAGTCATGCACTTTGCAAAGTGCACAGTCTATTTGCCTTTAGTAAACCAACCCATTGTCTGTATTTTTTATATTTTGTATGGGTTTTTTTCTTTCCTCTCTCTCGGACATTGACATTGTCGAATGGTGTATTATTATTTGACACCTTTTTGTACTCTTATGTATTGATGATCTTTTGTGTATATTCTATATCAATGTTGTGTGTTTCTATGATTTACAGATCAAGATTAATATGTAACACACTTGTTCTTTTCAGAGTCCTGAAGAAAAGGAGCATCCACAAAACGAGTAGACTCAATAAGTAATAAAAATTGCATATTGTTTACTTTTAATGTTTAGATTACTTCATGTCTTCTCGTGTAATTTTAAAAGGAAAGTTAAAACAGCTTCAACTCTTCTGGGAAGGCCGTCCACAAGGTTTAGGAGGGTGTCTATGGGAAGGTTTGACCATTCTTCCAGAAGCACATTTGTGAAGTCAGGCACTGATGTCGGATGAGAAGGCCTGGCTCACAGTCTCTGCTCTAATTCATCCCAAAGGTGTTCTATGGGGTTGAGGTCAGGACTCTGTGCAGGCCAGTCAAGTTCCTCCCACCCCAAACTCGCTCATCCATGTCTTTATGGTCCTTGCTTTGTGCACTGGTGCGCAGACATGTTGGAACAGGAAGGGGCCATCCCCAAACTGTTCCCACAAAGCTGGGAGCCTGAAATTGTCCAAAATGTCTTGATATGCTGACACTTTAGGAGTTCTCTTCACTGGAACTAAGGGGCAAAGCCCAACCCCTGAGAAACAACCCCACACCATAATCCCCCCTCCACCAAACTTTACACTTGGCACAATGCAGTCAGGCAAGTACCGTTCTCCTGGCAACCACCAAACCCGGACATGTCCAACAGATTGTCAGAGAAGCATGATTGGTCACTCCAGAGAAGACGTCTCCACTGCTCTAGAGTCCAGCCTGGAGAGGATTGTCAGGAAAAAAGCCATTCAAAAGTGTTGGGGACTTTCACAAGGAGTGGAATGAGGCTGGAGTCAGTGCATCAAGAGCCACCACACACAGACGGATCCTGGACATGGGCTTCAAATGTCGTATTCCTCTTCTCAAGCCGCTCCTGAACAACAAACAACATCAGAAGCGTCTTACCTGGGCTAAAGAAAAACAGACCTGGTCTGTTGCTCAGTGGTCCAAAGTCCTCTTTTCTGATGAGAGCAACTTTTGCATCTCATTTGGAAACCAAGGACCCAGAGTATGGAGGAAGAATGGAGAGGCACACACTGCAAGATGCTTGAAGTCCAGTGTGAAGTTTCCACAGTCTGTGTTGATTTGGGGAGCCATGTCATCTGCTGGTGTTGGTCCACTGTGCTTCATTAAGTCCAGGGTCAACGCAGCCATCTACCAGGAGATTTTGGAGCACTTCATGCTTCCTTCTGCAGACGAGCTTTATGGGGATACTGACTTTGCTGATTTTCCAGCAGGACTTGACACCTGCCCACACTGCCAAAAGCACCAAAACCTGGTTCAATGACCGTGGGATTACTGTGCTTGATTGGCCAGCAAACTCACCTGACCTGAACCCCATAGAGAATCTATGGGGCACTGCCAAGAGACAGATGAGAGACATGAGACCGAACAATGCAGAAGAGCTGAAGGCCGCTATTGAAGCATCCTGGTCTTCCATAACACCTCAGCAGTGCCACAGGCTGATAGCTTCCATGCCACGCCGCATTGAGGCAGTAATTGCTGCAAAAGGGGCCCAAACCAAGTACTGAGTACATATGCATGCTTATACTTTTCAGAGGTCCGATATTGTTCTATGTACAATCCTTGTTTTATTGATTGCATGTAATATTCTAATTTTCTTGTGGATTTGGGGTTTTCATGAGCTGTAAGCCATAATCATCACAATTATGACAAATCACGGCTTGAGCTATCTTGCTTTGTATGTAATGAGTCTATCTCATATATTTGTTTCACCTTTTAAGTTGCATTACTGAAATAAATGAACTTTTGCACGATATTCAAATTTTTCGAGTTTCACCTGTACACATCCCCCATAGTATCAATTATTGGTTTTTAACACACAAAGTACAATACTTTTTTTTTTCTTTTGCTGAGATCATGTGATAACCTATGTCTACACATAATCAACCAAAGTTCAGCTGTGAAAAATGTACACTATCAAGTATGCATGTAAAATATTACAAGTTTTTTTTCTTTACAAAATAGAAGATAAATACCCTTTCAGTGGATGGTGATTGTATCTTGAAGGTCATTGCCAACCCATATAAAAATGGTTCTTTCCAAGTGAAAATACGTCACAATTCTTTGTTGACATGACAAGTGTTAATGCAATCACTAGGCTTGATAATAGTATGATGTCCCTTTAGACACCGTCAGCTCATGATATACAGAATCAAGTGCAAACCTTGAACCGATCTGTTCCGACCTCAGAGCCACTTAGCAATGTTTCTGGAGAATCTCATGCATCTTCTGACCTATGATAGTTCTAGCTCTCTCCATTTCATTCACACAATACTAGGCTTGATTAACATATTTACTCAACCAGTCTGTCAGGTTCTTGTGCTTTGTGTCATTACAACTATAGCTAATGCCTGGTAAGTTCATGTCTTGGCTTTCTGGAGCTATGGTTTTATTTTCACAGACGTTCATCTCTCCTTTTTCACCTCTGACCTCAGGACAATTGGTTGGCTGCTAATAGATCAGGTCTGTTTATGGAGGAATAATGGGATGAAATAGATTCTACATCCTACTGCTTATTGTCTGATGTTAGATACACACTAGAGAATAAAAAAATAGCCGTAGATAAGAACTACAAAAAAAAACCACAGTTAAAAAAATGAATTAATTCAAAATAAAAATTCTTGTACCAACTGTAATGTTTGCTTTCACTTTGTAAAGGGCTACGCAAACTATTGACGCTATATAAACCCTGTATTATAATATTATTATTAATAATAATAAAAATAATAATAATAATAATAATAAATACTAGTTTCTTTTTACTGCTTTGATTTTGCCTATAGATACATTGTTCAATAGACTAGTTAAAGGGGTCATGATATATGAAGCAAAGTATATCTCTCTATAGCAGAGGTGTCAAACACAAGGCCCGTGGGCCGAATTTAGCCCCCAAAGCCATTTCATGTGGCCCTTGCATCTCTCCTGCAGGTACCCCCTTGTCTCCGCCCTCACCTTGTCTCAGCAGTCGGCAGCAGAGAGGAGAATAGAACTCCTCTGCCAAATCCTGCACCTCTCAGTGCAGCTGCAGCGCCCTCTCATCTCTGCCTCCCCTGGTCTCAGCACTCAGCAGACTCTGGTAACTGCCTCCACTCCTCCTTTGGTCCTCCTCCAGACCCTGCACTTTCTGCTTTCCAGCTCTGCACAGTGCACAGTGATGTTATGGAGAGTATGGGATGCTTGACATCTGATGTAATGGGGGGGGGGGGGGTGAAGTGCTGTGGACATCTAGTCTTACAGATACAACTGGCCCTTTGAGGGCAACTATAATGCTGATATGGCCCGCAATGAAATGGAGTTTGACACCCCTGCTCAATAGCATGCACTTGTCTCAATCCAGAGCACTAAGTGTCATTTCTGTCTGCTGCTTTGTTCCTCTGCTATCAGCATCAATCACTTCTGACATGTTTTTCTGACACAAAGATAAAAGCGGTAACAGGGGAGGGCACAGCTTGTGATTGACAGCCTCAGCTCTGTTCCTGTGTGCTGTGTGAAGAGGGGGTGTGTCCCTTTCCTCCAATCAGCTCTCAGAGCTCTCCTCACAGTTGTAACTTCAGCTCTTCGCCCCCTGCTTTTCATAGCTGAGAAATCCTGTGTAAATCCTGGACTTTGATTGGATGTAGGGGAAAGACAGCTGTAGAAAACCCTTATGTAGGAGGATTTGTTTCACGTCTGTGTATCACCTGAGACCAGTCACTTCACGGGTATATGTAAGGGTTTACAACCACTTACAATTAAATCTCAAAATTGACTAAATAAAGCCTTATTATGCACCTTTTAAAGGGGGCCCATTTTCTTTGGAGGGGGTGAATTTTTCATTATTCAGTTTGATGATCCTGCCAATTTTGAGCATTTTGACTCCTTTCCAGTAGAGAGCAAACAACATTATTATCTTCTGCCTACAGCAGGTTTGTGTAGCTCTCACCCCCCGAAGGGTCCAAGTTTCTTTCCCAAACACGTGTATCA